TATAAATACGCCTGGTGAGACTATCATGAGATTGAAGGAAGAGGAAGCGGAAATGGAGACAAGTGAAGGCAATTTATTAATGTGGGTATGGGGGAATGTAACTTTGTAAGCTGAAGTCATAAAGAGAACTCAGAATAACAACTGCCATCGCCTTCTCAAATGCAACACACTTCCTTTCCTGGTCGAAGATGCATTATTAAGACACTAAGCAGAACATCCCTCCAGTTAGCTCAGCCCACATGACACACACAGATACAAATGGACACAAACACAAGCATTAACAAATTGGCTGTGGTCAAAGCTCTGAGTAAACTTGGCTCAACTGCCTTTTTAAGATATAAAAAGCTTCTGCTAAGATGATGAGGGGGCTCTACATGGCCTGAAAAACAGTCCTTTTTAGATGAGGACACACGCAGAGTGCTGGACCACAGCACAGCCAATCAAGTGCTGATGTTGCCTCTGATCTTTGGACCTCAGTGTAACCACTTTTACTGAGCATGTGTATATGCTGCTGCATGTGGCTGTGTTAGGGTATGGAGGTTATTCAAGATTTGCGGTGGCCCCCTGTAGTGAATCCTGATCCTATTGGTAATGATGCTCAGAGTGCTGCTGAGATCTTAAATGAACATTCCAGCACTCACTCATTCACAATCATTCCTCCCAAGTGACACAGCAGGTCTTCTGGTATTATACACATAAATACTACCTCTTCATTGGAGGATGTGGCTTAATTTGGCACTTGTGTGTGTGTGTGTGTGTGTCAGAGGTGCTGTCTTTTTGATGGTTGATATCACTGAGGGTGTCTTAACATACCAACTGTTAAGAGAACCAGAGATTTTGAGCTAAAGCAAGCAGGCGTGGTCTTTTCTGTGCATGAGCGGTTACGCAACAGTAACACCTCTAAAAAGGCATGCACACACACACATTCATGCAAGTATAGCTCCTGTTGAAGTTGTGAATGAGTGTGTCTGTGTATGTGTGTTCTGCCACTGCCCACTTTAGCTCATACAAAGGAGCAGAAAAAGCTTGATGGAGTCTCCTATTCATCTAAAGCACAATGGAACCCCACGGAGGTTTTCTTCCTGTTTCCCTGTCAGCTCCACCCACCTTCCCCCTCAGGGCAGGATGGAGGGGCAGGGGGCACCCTGTTCTGCTGGCCCACAAGCAACTTCAGCTCCCATCTGCCACCGAAACTCTCCCTTCTCCACCCCCGGTCCATCCATCCATCCCCCTCTCTCACTCCAGTCTCTACTTTTTTTTAAATTTCACTTGTTGGCTACTTGAATCCTTGCACCAAACTTTATTTAGAAGCATCTTCTTCAAAATTCATGGAGAGAATGAAGTGAATTTTGTTATTTCTATTAAACACCAACTTTGACCTTGGGGTAAACAGTACAGTCAAAAATATTTAAAAATTTCAAACATCAGTGACTTTAAATGTTTGGATTAAACTGAACATTCTTCATGTCTTTATATGAAGGCTCACAGGTAGAGGAGACCATCTGGTGTGAGATAAACAAGGCATTTTAACCAGAAGTGAAGAAGGTCCTATGTGAAATATTTAAACAGCTTCACTTGATGATAACTATGTACAGTATGTGTACAGTACATAACCACTGAATGAGTTCGCAGGTTGTACAAAACTGATTAAATTATTATCCCAGATTTTAAACATTTTGGGACCATATTGCTTGAAACCATATTCATTTCAGGTCTGTCAGTCTCTTTTCTTCTGCTAAGTCCTCTTTCCATTCTTTAGCACTAACTCCCTCCTCCATTTGCCTTGCTGTTTTGCCCTCCTACAGCTGTCGGCTGCAGATTTACAGTCCAGTCTAACATGCACAGTATTGGCAAAGCATTAAATATGTCTACTCTTAATACTGTGAGCTCTCTCCATCGATAAGAGCCTTAATAAAAACATCCCCCTAGTGTATTTGTGTCTCTTTTTCACTTTCCACCCTCCACCTCCTTCCTCAACAATATCCTTCTCTCTTAACCACTGTTTCTTCTACTGCTTTGCTAGCTTTAACCTGGTCCTGCTGCACATAAATTCTCTTCCACTCATTTTTTTTCCCCACCCATGTCCCCACCAGCACCCCCTCCCACCCCTCTCTGCCTCCTTCTCTGGCCTGTGCCAGAGGTTTAATGACGCTTGAATGCCACTGCTATGGAGTTTTCTTCTTCCCTCTTTTCTCATAAAGGATATTTAAAAGCCATGCCCTGAGATCAATCTATCTCAATGTGTCTCTCACGGATTCATTTCTCTTCCATCTCCTCTTTCTGTTTTTCCTCTTCACTTTCAGATGGATAGCATTACCCTGTGTAACCTCTCTCTTTGTTTCATTCACACACATCCTCTGCCACAGCCCCCTGCTGCAATTGGCACACTTACTTGAACTGTCACTCTTTTATCTAGTCTATAAATACCTATTGGTACCCTAAAATCCCTCACTACCCCTGTAGTCAGCTGGTTCAGTTATGCCAATGACAGCTGAGCAGCTGTTCCCCTCCCACTTCTTTCTCCTTTGCCGTCTCTGATGTAAAGAATTTGAGCATCATAAGCACATTTTAAATATTAACAAAGACCACTTTGCACACATGAATAATACAGGAGAGAGGGCAGTGGCTGGCCAGTGATCCCATCCGCTGCCGCCTAACGGTCATAAAACTAATGCACTGCTCTGGGACGGAATGTGGCCTGGCCTGGTCTGCCAGCAGGACTTGCCTGAGGAACAAGTTTGGCCTAGAGACTGGCCCAAAGAGATCTATCTGTCTGTTTGCTTATCATGGTGCCCAACCACCTGTCCAAATCTCTGCAGATGCAACAGCCTGGCAGCACTTTTGTTATGACTCTGTGTTTCATAGACACTTTAATCTAATCTGACATCTCAATCTGCTGAGCATCTTTGAAGCCAAATCTACTTTGGTTTTTGTCTGGGGTTATCTTTTACTGTTACACTCCTTTCTTTTCATCCATTTAAAATTCGTACTTAAGCTGTCAGAAAACTGCAGAATTCGTGTGGCCAAATATTTGGTCAACAAATATTTTAGTAGCCTTTTATTTGTCCACATGCAATATTAATGAATCTAAGTCTTTTTTGCAGCGGCTGCACTGATATTCACAAATAAGAGGAATCCCACATTTAAGGCAAATGAGACAACACATCCTAGATGGGTGTTACTATTCGTCCAGCGCTCTGTGGGACATGCTGACATGCTACAATCCCTAACTCTGTGCATGCAGCTGACCCTTCGCTGCCGTTCATCCTCGCTGTCTTCCTATCTTTGGCAAACAGTGCGCAAACATGCGTATGCCGTATGTCAGCTTTCTATTCTGAATAAGTCATTAATAATGACACATGCAGAGAGAGACAGTGGACAGCAGGGTAGCTACTCCAGACAGTGTTCCTGGCAGTCTGAGTAATTAATGTGTATGTCAACACAGAAAGAGGAGCACCACAGCAGAAGTGTGAGCTCAGCACATCCACATTACAGGCAGAGACCGAGACAGGAGGGATACTGGGGTAGGGGGTGGGGAGTGTAGTGGAAAGCTATACACACAATGGGAGAGAAGATAAATGCAGTCTGTCTGCCCCATCATGCATTCCCTAAATATATCTCTGCCTCCCTCTCTCCCAGACAGAAACTTTACTGGGCCACATTGAGCTATTGTCCCCTAGTGTCCCCCTCCTCTCAGCTCTGCTCTCACTATAGGACCTCACTGCAATCCTCAACTCTTCATATCGGTGTTTCTCATTTCTCATGCAAGGATTTTAGAATTGCCCACAATTTTAATAAACATAAGCTGCTTTTCTGCTCCGCCTGTTCAGAGAGAGAGTAATACACACAAAAGGACCTTGGGTGGTATGAAGGGGTTTCTTATTGGTATTCAAGGAAATGGGCAAAAAGCTGGACACACAGTCACTGTGTCCTCCAAAAGATTACAGGTTTCATTTCATTAATTAAACATGGTCTTCAACACCATAGGATTATAGTTATTTCTTAGAGTGGTCTTTAAGCAAAGCTTGTGTAGGTTCTTATTGTTGTCTGCATTGGTTTTTATTTATTTTTTCCGACATTAAACCAAGCTTATTCACAATCCCCCAAACCCTCAGATTTGTATTTCAGTCTGATTGTACAGGGAGGACAGAAAATGTCCCGGTTCGCCTACCAACAGGCTACGCTGAGGGAAATCATTAGTCTAACACTGGAGATGGCCAGTGTCACCTTGGTGTCCAGGTCCCGTCCCATCGGCTGAACAACAGCAGCTGACCCTGTGTGCCAAGTGGTTTCATGTCCAGGAGAACTGAATGTTTTAACACCAGGAAATTCCCTGCTAAAAGTCTGTTCCTCACTGCTCACAGTCTGCTATATTCTGACCGCAATACTGTCTCATAAAATAATGACTAAAAACAAGCAACTGTTTATGATAAGTGAGTTCAGTATTTCAAAAACAACTCGTACACCAAAGCTTAGAGCAACTGTCACTAAATTTAGTTGCTGTATCTCAATTACAAAAAAATAAGAAATAAAAATCACCCAAAGAACTTCTGTCTTACTTTTTACAAGGCTTTGCTTTTTCTTTTTGGAAAGGCCAGGAAGGCATGGAGCAAAACCTCAATTACTCCCTGCACACCAGGGGAGTTAGATTTTTCCACTACAAGTAGAAAAGAGAGCTCTCAGCTCGGGTCTCCTCTAAGGATGAAGACTTTGCTGTGGGTAAAAAAAAAAAAAAAAAAAAAATCTTTTATAAAAAATTTCTATGGACCCAAAGTTAGGCTGTGAATGTAACTTTGAGTTTGGATATTCTTGATAAAAAGTATAATATTTATTTGTTGTTGTTGTTTGACTTCATTTGTTAAAATAAATAAATAATAAAACATGCGCTCTCTATGTATCTGTACGCACAAGTGTGGTTTTTGTAAATGTTGCGCCGTGTCACATATGTACATTATTTCACAGTTACAGTCCAAAAACGCATCTTTAAGTTCTAAACTTACCAGTGCCGGAAACGACATATCCCCCGAACAACAAGAGAAGAACCAGAGGACCGAAACCTGGATCACGCTGCATCCGGACAGAGAGCATCTTTTCCGGCTACGCCGTTGCAAAAGTCCCGGGTTGTCCACACAGCGTAGCCTGCGGTGCTTTTGACACTCCAAGTCGCTGTTGTCCAACAAAGTCTTTAAGATTTCTGAGAATAGGTTGAACCAAGAAGTCCAGTAACTGCTGTTGTATATCGCTGTTTTGGTAGATAATTCACTCTTGAATTCTGACGCAAACAGGCTGTAACGCTCAAAACACATCCATCTCAACGCGGCTTGTGAAAGACTGAAAAGGTGTAATTTCCGCCCGTAATCAAAGTTTGAAGAGCTCCATAAATATCACACCTTGTGAATATAAATACACAATCTGTCGGAACTATTCCTAGTAGATTTCATTTTCAGTACCACCTGTACCGACATCAATGAGAACCATAAGCGCCGTGCTGCTACAAAAGTCACCAAAAGTTTGACGCATCGCTGAACTGAACGGAGGTGTTAAATTAGACGACAGTCTGTCTTCCAGTAAAGAGAAACTTGCTTTGCAATCACAAAAATAGGTAAAATAAGTGTGTCTTATCCCCTCCTCGTCCGCAAGGTGTAAACAAGTACACGGGGATCAACGAGGAGCACAACGCCAGCCTCCCGACTACCAGTGCCCGCCTGGCCAATCATACGCCACCCTCCTCCTCCTCCTAGAGTGAAGGCTGAACAAGTGAAGGTAAACTAGTGGCAAGCGAGGACGAAATAGATGGGCGGAGAGAGAGAGAGAGAGACCCGCACCACAGTGCGCGCGGCACCGCTCTGGATCTATCTATCTATCTATCTATCTATCTATCTATCTATCTATCTATCTATCTATCTATCTATCTATCTGTTTATTCTGTGGCTGTAAATGCAGTAACAGTCAGCCCTGTTCCCTTTGCCTTACCTGACATGTACAGTCTAGCTGTTTTGAGTTTATAAAAGAAGTCCAGCAGCACCAGACTTGGTTTATGAGAGCATATTACTTCCTATCAATCCATCCCTGGATCCATCCCTGGATTATATTTTACCCCCGGCGGCCACAAGAGAGCACCCTTCCATAAATGAGCCTCTCCCCAATGAGGCCAAAAACTGACTGTATCTCCTACTGAATTCTTCATTATGGATGTCTTTTCCTGGATGGTCCATAGAGTTTCTGATTGGTCAGTGGACACCACAAGGGCGATTAGGAAGAGGAGGACATTGCTTTGGAAGTTGGGTGATTTAATGTAATTTTGTTTTTCAAATTAGTGATTGAGCAGGTAAGTACAACTAAAGACTTTGGCTTCCTATTACAAGCAATGTTATGGTAAGGAGGTAGCTTATCTTTAATATTGGCAAGTGCTTTATTGGTTGAACATTTCCAGAGATCACCTGCTGTTTAAAACAGTGCCTGAATAAATTAAACGTTGCTGAAGTTTGCATTTTCTGTCTGGTCAGCACTGGAGACACCCATTACTTACACTAGCTACCAGTTTCTTTCTCAGTTTATTATAAACTGTTCTGTAAACTGGGAATACTATGTGCCTAAGATTTTCCTATCAGGTGCCTGCACAAAAGGATTTTAGAACAACAAATCTACAGCATATTAATGCTTTTACTAACTGCATATATGAGATGTGGATAGGTGACAAATTAAGGGTAAAAATCTGAATTAATGAGTGGAGAATCATAACAAGTGCAGATGCTGCAATGCGCTGCATGAGGTCTCATTAATTTGTTTGATGACAGTGAAAATGATATGCCTTCACAGTTGCCAGATCTCAGCCCATCTGAACACCAAAGTAATATTCTGGAAATGTTCACCAGCGTCTGCACCACCATCATCTAAACGTCAAATAATGAAATAGCTTTTGGAAGGATGGTGTTCATCCCTCCCGTATAGAGCTCCACCGACTCTGATAATACATAGCAAGGAGCACTGAAGATGTTCTGAAAGCTTAATGTTATTTTTTCATTTTATTTGTCACCTGTTTGTTACATAATATGGTGATAAAATGTACAAAACCAGTAATTTATTTCTATGAAAATGTCACAGGTTATTACTTCCTGCAATCCTCCAACAGTTCTGTCAATGTGCAGTATCACTCTTTGCCTCATATCGAGTCTATCATTCATTCATTCTGTTGCTGAGTCACATTAATGGCCAATAAGGGGAAGGTTTATCCTTGCACGACTTGCACCTTGAGACTAGATTAACATTTAAGTATAAAATGTGTATGAATAAATTGAATACTTAAGAATAGAACAGAGGGGCGCTCAGATTTCAAAGCAGACAGAAAACCAGTATGTATGTACACGTGCTTCTGAGGGTGAAGCGAGGCCCCTCTCTAAGATGTTACAGTATATGGCAACAAATCAGCATTTCTGTACTTTGCTCAAATCCAACTTCAAAGGTCATAATCCATCTGGACAAGTGATGAGTCCCAATGCTTCCCTCCTCCAGGGATAATTATACTGCTTTCTGGAGCACAGAATGCACTCTGGATTATTTATGTATTCTCTAAGTCTTTATTGTGACTGGTGAGAGAGCGAGAAAGATAGGGGAGAGTGACAGAGATGGCGAGAGCGAGAGAGGTTATGCGTGAAATGGAGTTTGCAGGTTGTGTTTGAGACAGATTTGCCTCGTGGAGCTGCAAATGCATTTTCTGTTTACATGTCCGTGCATGCCGAGATTTCTGATTGTGTTTCTGTACCTGTTTTCCTGTTCTGTTCTTTCAAATAATAGGCCTGTGCTCAACATTATAGAATACTGAGTACATACTTATATGATATTATCCACAGCCATTTTCAGATCTAATCACTTAACAGTGAATTGGAGCACTTTGAGTTGAGGAGCTTGTTCAACAGGTGTTAGATGACTGACTTTGTTAACACATCTACTTTGATGAGGTCATGCAGGATGTTACCACTTTGCAAGCTCTAATAAGACAATTTGCCCTCTCCTCCTTTCTCCAAAGCATTTCACCTAGTATTACCGAGCTGATGACAATGTTGTACTTGTTGAAATTATTATTTTGTTCTGCCCTTTGCTAAGACTAATTGAAGCTATAAGTCAAGGGCACCCAATGGAAAACTGGAGAGGAAAGCTGGGGTAAAAGAGAGCCATAATTGAGTAGGATGTGGTGCCCCATACAGAAGAAGACACAATGAGAAAGCTAGGGCTATTATTAAGGTATAATAGGTTATCCGCTCAGGACTGTTTAGCACCACTGACTCTCTGTTGCTTTGTGTTGTAGGCTTGACATCAAACTGCCTATCTCTGTAAAGCAGAGGGTTTCTAAAAATAGGAGATGTGCTCTAGAAGTTGCTGTGGAGATAATTGAATATTATTTTCAGGAATGATTAAGTTGACCTATCCAGTGGACTAATTATTTCTTGCAGGCCAGAGGAGAGCTTGTTTAATAGATTTTGGTAGCAGTGAATAAAGCAAAATAAAGCCATTCTACAGGCTTTCTGCTGACCAGGAAAACATCTTTCATGGAAAAATGAATAAAACCTATCATTAGAAATTGGCTTGAGGATGATAACAAATTTACTGTATTTTGCAGTATTTCTAGTGTGGTGCCTCTGTCAGTTTCTCTGGAATGTGTTTGAAGGTCATTCAAATCACACAAAATCCCCATATTTTTATATTAATTTTGTAAGTTATGCAAAAAAGTATCTGTTTTATGTGCCAAGGTTTTGAGAAGTCTCCCTCCACCACATTGAAATACATGCAACTGACCTTTCCGATTTTATGTGAAACCCAGTAGCGACATGTTTTTCATATTCCCTCAGTGTGACTGGTTTTCATTACAACTACTACAAAAGTATTTACCAGTTCATTGTTGAATGTTCAAAAATAAAATTTTTGTCAACTCTGGCCCTTTAGGGTTCTTTATTGTGGTAGAGTTAAGTCAGGTAATTTGGGGTATTAGGTAAAATGGGACAAATAATGTCTTACATCTTGGGCTCTGTAAATATTAGAAGCCAGTAACCACACATTGTTGCCACAACTGTCTTTTACATGAAATAGCCATTTTTACTGGTCTGAAATATTAAAATAATCACTGGTCCCAGAACTTGCAATTTAAGCACTGTGGCATGGTGATGTTCTTTTAAAACAATAAGGGTATAACAGCAAAAGTGGTTGTAGGAAGTTGGATTGTATTAACTGTTTGAGTTATAACCACAATATTTTAACAATACCCTTTTCCTTGTAGGAAAGGGTTTTGGGAGACTGTTACATGCCTGCGCTAAACTGGGACATTTTTCTGAAGTGAAACTGGCAGGTTTCACTTACCTGTACAAAAAAAAATCACAAGTTAATATGCTATTGTGTTATATTACAGACATTTTTAGCATTTTTGTCATTTAAACATATTAAAGACAATGCAGTGAGTTCATGTCAGCCACAGTAGTGCACATTCATTACATACTCTCAAAGAAAACTTTAAAAAAAATCCAGAAACAACTCAAGCTCACTAGAAAATAAATAAATGACCATCCCTGTAGATCATGCAAAATATATTATGGAGACAAAAGAACCCCAAAGCCACAGAGGCCTGGATCCCCTGTGCAGGATGTGAGGCATGGTTCCCTGAGAACTGTGGTGAAGCCACTGGGATCTCAAATGATGCTGGACATGTTTTTCCAGAGAGTGTGTATATTTGGGTAAAGATTTAGGCTAATATAGTTTACATTTGTTTATGCTCTTATTTAGTTTAATTCATAAGATATTTACGCTAGGTTGATTTGAAATTTGACACATTCCTTAAAAGCCTAATTAGCCTACAGATCTCACAGTTTTTTATAATAATGGTTTAATTAATTAATGACTGAACTGATAGATGCATTTAGCTCTGAAAAAAGCAAACAAACATGAAGTACAATTATTATTCAATTAAGCTGAATTGTTTGGTGTTTTTTTAAAACCCTTACTGATCGTCCCATTTGACTTCACCCTATTTAAGGCTTTGCTCAGCATGTAAATATTCCAGTAAAAACTAAACTGGCCAGTACTCAGTTGTGTATGCCGATGTGTCACCATGTGTATGTGCATTGCTTATACCAGGGGCTGGTGATGTGTGTGCAGGGAAATATACTGTACATGGTTATACCTTTCTGTGGGTGAGTGTGTGTGTGTGTTTGAGAGTAAGCCAGACTGCATGCCTGTCCCTGTCAATGTGCATTGACTTCACCTGTCCTCTACTGTTGTAATCCCTGGGTACACCTGGGCCTTTGGGCTTCGGGGCTTTTAGCAGATTGCATGTGTCAGACTTAGGACAATTACACTGATTGTTGCCCTAGAAATTCTGCTCTCCCTCTGTTTCTAAGGGGAAAAAGTTAATAAATTAAAGGTGACAGAACATTGTGTAAAATGAAAGAATCTGTATAAAAGCAGCTGTAAATATACATCGAGCTCTATCACACTGTGTAGAAGCAGCACCATGACAAACAGACCAAAATGGTTTTCATATGCAGAAAGGTCAGTTCTGTCACTGTCTAATGAATTCCAAACTTTTTACCCAAGTTTATTTAAACTTAAAAAGACTGTTTTTTATGTTAACCTCATGAATAACCAAAAGACTCTATTGCTAATAATCTTTCATCAACCACAAACAACATACCACAGTTACTGTGTTTGCTCTGCTTGGTTTACTTTCATGTCCAAATTGTATTTGTTAAATTGCA